ATACTTAATCGGCACAAAATTTACAATTATTACTGGCCATAAACCTCTTGTTCACATCTTTACCAAGGGTCTTAAGGATAATAGTACCATGTCCTTAAGACTCCAGATGTGGAACATAACATTAGGAGGATATGATTTTAATATAAAATATAAAGCAGGTAAATACAATGTTGTTCCTGACTGCCTTTCAAGATTACCACAGGAAATTAGTGATAATGTAATTGAAAATTTTGAAATTGAAACATTTGCATACCACGACTCTCCTAAGAAGGACGGAAGTGTGGACAAAAATATTAAAACTAATGATAAAAATATTGTAACACCGATTCCTAGACCGAAACGAAGTAAACAAAAACCTGTTTATCTAAAAGATTATATAACTAAAAATATTAAAATATATAAAAATAAATTAAATACTAAAACACGAAAAAGTAAATTAAATACTAAAACGCAAAAAAAAAATTAAAAAAAAACGCTAAAAATATCATAAAAAAAAATAAAAACGCTAAAATATTATCTAACAATCTTGTTGATTTATCATCCTTTTATTATTCTAACATCCAAATTTGATCAATTCTCTAATTATTCATATATTCTGAAATCCTATTTAATAATGATAATTTTACAACTGGTGATAATAACAATTTTGTAAAATTGACAATGATAACGACGGAGATTGACGATAAGCCTACGTACTTGGAACGATATTATCAAGCCAACGATTACAAAGACTATGAATGACTTGAACAATCAAAATGAACAACCATTTGAACGACAAATTTTCCATGACAGCTCAGATGGATTATGGGAAGGCTTTTCAGAAGAAGGGGAATGTTAATCGAGATTGATTTTTTAAATTTGTTTAACTTAAATTGCTATTATTTTAAACATGTTAGCCTGTAACCATGTATTTCGTTAAAATTGTTTTTTTTATGATACATATATATATATATATACCTTATTTTATATTTATTTTTAGTATCATTTTTTAGTTTTAGATATATTTATAATAAATAAAACATTTTTTCTTGTCCATACAATACCACCGTTATTGATATATAACATTAATATTATATTTTTTTTCAATAATGGTGAAAATTATAACTTATTTGTAATTTTATAGTCATTTTTGACTTTATACTAAGCATTTCTATTAATTGAATTTAAAATTATTATTAAATAATATTATCCCAAAAATATATTGAATAAAATTTTTATTTAAAGATACTTGTATCCTTTGCTTAATTAAAATTCTCAAATACAAGATACTTTTAAATTATAGTTACAAATTAAATTAGAATAGTTTATAAGATACAGTTTTTAATATTTATTTGTGAAGAACATAATATACACATATATAAGAATGAATATTTGCAATAATTAATAAAACTTTTAATGATGAGTTAATTATAATATTCAAGCATTTTAATATTAGTATTAGCTCATTCTTAGCATAGATTGAGAAGGGAGGCAAGTATTTTTAATAGGAGTTGAAATATTAATTTGCATAAGAATATTTAAAATATATCATTATTTTTTAAAATAATCATATAAATATTTATCATAAGATCTTTGCCGTTTAGGCGTGTACCAAAACTATTATGTGGGTCGTTTTTTTTATGTTAAATTGTGAATTCATTCATTTATGGTAATGAATATTTTTTTGATTATTTTGAGTAATCATTCTTTTTGCAAAATAAATAAAAAGAATTTATATATTTGTAAATTAATTATATTATTAATCAATTTATATTTGTTTTGTAGTAGATATAAAAAGAGAAATAAACAAAATTAAATCATTGTTTCCTTTCAATTTTTAAAATATTATTTTGAAAAAAAAATTTTTCATCAAAATTTATTAGTTTCGGGTCAATTTTTAGAATAATAAAAAAACAAATAAGAAGAAAGTAAAAAATAAAAGAAAAATAAAAATAAAAATAAAAAATGATTAAAAACAGTTTAAATACACATATATATTTTGATAAACCGAAGAAAACCCACCGATTCCTCTTTAAAATAAAGTACCTCCCAGTGTAACATTTAATTGTCTTCCCTTTTTGTAAAATTTAATAAAAACTTAATAACCTTTCTATTGAAGCTGATGAAGGTATTGCAGTATTATATGTATAAAATATTTCCATAATGGAAGGATAATAATTAAGCATTTACAATGTTCGACTTTCTTTAGTATAATTTAAAACCTCCAGCTCAATGTTATTTGTATTATTGAACTCAGCAACATTTCCAAAGGAAAAATATCTTTATTAGTTAATCTATTGGTGTTATAATGTGGGCTTGATTATATATTCTGTTTCTTCTATTAATATATTTTGAAATAAATTTATTTATTATCCGACTCAATCCAAAAGTTCTTAAAATATGGATGTGATATTGATGTCAAAAAATCTCATTATATTCAAATCGAAGGATAATATTTTCTTAAAGTCTTTAGCCCACATCATCTTAGGCAGCTTTTAAAGGAAGACAATATTAAACTTGAATTTTTAAGATAACCTGTGCCCCTTTTAATTACATATAAATAATATATTTTAATATGTTTAACAAAATTTTTGTTTAACCCTTTTTCATTTTTTTTATTTATACAGGTTATAAATCTAGCCTGTAAATTGTCTTTTAACCAATGATATATATGTCATTGCTTTTAACTCTTATTATGAAAAAATTTCCACATAAAATTTTAAGATAGGGATATTATTCAGGGGACCCTATTTCCATAATTTAAATTTCACTACTTTCTTCTTCACTATCATGAGTGTTAGTCATCCTACAAATTAAAAATATTAGATAAAATTGGCAATGATATTCTATCGAGTTACATTTATTTATAAAATATAATCTTTATTTATTTCGTTTTATTTTTCATCAATCTATCTTAATATGAGTTGTCCAGCTAACTTTGGCTGTCAATATATTAAAATATTGTGGAAAAAATAAGGAATTTAATACAAGATTCTTGAAGAAAAATATATAATGTGATATGTAAAATTTTAAACATGAATATTAAAAGTCTGTAATCAAGAAAATGAAAATGAAAAACAAGATTCTTTTCATAATAGAGGATCTTAGATACGGATACTTATTTTCACTCGTATCTTATATATAAATATTCACGGTACTACCCAACTTTGGAGGGCACGCGTGAATAATGTCCCATCATCAGATATAGATAAAAGGATTGGGATAGACCAGTTAGAGCACACTGCGCTAAATCCTTATTATCTAGCATGATCCCAATAAAGCGTTCTCTCTTCACCTCCTTACTTAATGAATCCTGGTATTTGGAATTAATCCCTTCCATTTAACTTGCAAAGAATAAGGCAACTAACGATAGGTGCGTGGTGCGAGTCAGTAAAAATATATTTTATTAACTAATTTCTTTTTCTTTTCTTAAGGTATATATACATTTTTTTATAAGTCCAAATTAGAATACAAACGAAAAACAAAAAAGTAAAAATATTATAAAATATAAAAAGTAAGGTTACGCCGAAAGTTATAAAAATAAGGTTACGCCGTACATATAATAAAGTTATTACAAAAAATAATAAAAAATTACATTACAAAAAAATAATAATTAGAATAACTCAACATTCTCCCTCTTCTGTTAATTTCATCGGAGAAGTAATAGAGAATTTGTTGTCCAAGTGGTTTATCGTTTTGGTAATCAAGTTGTATCACAAATCATCATAACGTTGGCTGTCCCAATCGTTGGTTTGTTTAAATCGATTTTGCACGTTAGCTTGTTTAAATCGCAAGCTTGATATCCTTATCGTAATTTGTCTCCATTAATCATAGCTTGTTTGATAGTACTCAGTTGTTATTATTATCATAAATAAGTTGCGAATAATGAGAAATAATAGTTCATCATATTATAAAAATAAGTGAAGAATGATAAATCAATAAGATTGTTATATTTTTAGCGTTTTAATGACTTTTATTTTTTCGCGTTTTAGTGTTTAATTAATTTTTGCATTTTAGTATTTAATTTATTTTTATTTATTTTCAATCTCCGAGGTTAAAATATGCAAATAAAATATTATTCACATTTCCCTCTCTTTAAATAAAAAATTTAAATTTCACACCCTAGTTTTAATTCAAAAAGTGTTACTTCAAAAGCTTTATTTCAAAAACATTTTTATCATATTAAGTATTACTTATAAGGGTTATTTAAATCAATCCCTTTTAATTCATATGTTTTAATTACATTTTAATATATTTAAAATTAAAGTTTTATCTTCTTGTTTAGGATTTTTAATGGTTTATATTTAATTATATCTAAGAATTCATCTTTAGGTTTAGTTAATTTACAACAATTGGTCATTATTCAAGAAATCAAAAAATATCAATAATTTTCTAAAGGCTTTATGTGTGGTCTATATCCATTATGATTTTACATTTTAGTATCAATATTTCACTAAGAAATTATAAATAATTTTTTAAAGGCTTTTTGTGTGTTCAAATATATCCATTATGATTTTACATTTTAGTGATTTTAAAAATTTATAACATGCCTTTATCCTGGCATAAAATCTTAATTTTTAATAACTATTCTTCTTACGTGGATTAGAATAATAAGTAATCATCATTGGTCTCACAAAATAGAATTCATAACCTATCGTTCAACTTCCATATCAGTTCTTTCTAGGTTGTCACATTAGGTTAGGTGCTGGTTATCATATTCCAGTCCAACATCCAGAGCCGGTGTAATATTGTAGAAACAATACCATCTAAAATCAATACGGTATTGATTCTACAATATTGTAAAAACAATACGGTATTGATAATTTATGACCGAACCTCAGCTTTTACGAATCAAATTGAAATTTTTTAAGAATACCGTATACAAATTGTTACTACCGTTTACAATTGAAATTTTTTAAGAATATTGTATACAAATTGTTACTACCGTTTACAAATTTTTGAATATCCATATATAGAAACAGGAGAACAATCAAATTGAAATTTTTATACAAATTGTTACTACCGTTTACAAATTTTTGAATATCCATATATAGAAACAGGAGAACAAATTAGTACACAGGAGAACAAATTAGTACACAGGAGAACAAATTAGTACACAGGAGAACAAATTAGTATATTTAAATTATAATTATAAATTTATATCAATTAATATAGATACAGGAGAACAAATTAGTACATTTAAATTATAATTTTATATTTATATCCATTAAAATACTAAAATAGAGTTTACAAATTACTACTTATATAGAAACACAGGAGAACATATTAGTACATTTAAATTATAATTATAAATTTATATCAATTAATATAGATACAGGAGAACAAATTAGTACATTTAAATTATAATTTTATATTTATATCCATTAAAATACTAAAATAGAGTTTACAAATTACTACTTATATAGAAACACAGGAGAACATTAAATTATAATTATAAATTTATATCAATTAATATAGATACAGGAGAACAAATTAGTACATTTATTATAATTTTATATTTATATCCATTAAAATACTAAAATAGAGTTTACAAATTACTACTTATATAGAAACACAGGAGAACATATTAGTACATTTAAATTATAATTATAAATTTATATCAATTAATATAGATACAGGAGAACAAATTAGTACATTTATTATAATTTTATATTTATATCCGTTAAAATACTAAAATAGAGTTTACAAATTATTACTTATATAAAAACACAGGAGAACATATTAGTACATTTAAATTATAATTATAAATTTATATCAATTAATATAGATACAGGAGAACAAATTAGTACATTTATTATAATTTTATATTTATATCCATTAAAATACTAAAATAGAGTTTACAAATTATTACTTATATAGAAACACAGGAGAACAAATTAGTATAATTAAATTATAATTATAAATTTATATCAATTAATATAGATACAGGAGAACAAATTAGTACATTTAAATTATAATTTTATATTTATATCCATTAAAATACTAAAATAGAGTTTACAAATTACTACTTATATAGAAACACAGGAGAACATATTAGTACATTTAAATTATAATTATAAATTTATATCAATTAATATAGATACAGGAGAACAAATTAGTACATTTATTATAATTTTATATTTATATCCATTAAAATACTAAAATAGAGTTTACAAATTATTACTTATATAGAAACACAGGAGAACATATTAGTACATTTAAATTATAATTATAAATTTATATCAATTAATATAGATACAGGAGAACAAATTAGTACATTTAAATTATAATTTTATATTTATATCCATTAAAATACTAAAATAGAGTTTACAAATTACTACTTATATAGAAACACAGGAGAACATATTAGTACATTTAAATTATAATTATAAATTTATATCAATTAATATAGATACAGGAGAACAAATTAGTACATTTAAATTATTATTTTATATTTATAAAAAGAATACAGTATCAATAAAAGAACCTTTAAATCGACAATTATAGAGAACTTCACAAAATTTTTCATGAATCAAATAGGTACATTTAAATTATAATTATACATTTATATCAAGCATTAACAGAAAAATATAATACAATAAAGGAATATTTAGTTACAGGAAAGTATCCTATATTTCTTAAAAACCATCCAGGGAAAAAAAGTAATTATAAATGCATGGCAAGCAAATTTATTGTTAAAGATGATGTTCTTTACAGAAAAATAAAGAATAAAGAAAGTAAATATGATCACAAAATAATCATTTTCTATTTATTTTTTAGCTTTAGTAATAATGGAAGAAGAAGAGAAACAAAGAGTAATATCTATTATTCACCAAGGATCAGATATATCCTTAGAGTCTAAAGCTATTGGTGCCCACCTAGGTATTAATAAAACTCAACTTAAACTCTCTGAAAGGTACTTATTATGATGTTAGAATTCTTAATTTTGTGTTTATAGATATTGGTGGCCAAAATTATTTCAAGACACTATTGATTTTATAAAATCATGTGATAGATGTCAGAAGGCTAATGTAAGATTTACCAAAATTTCTTCCACTTTGCATCCAATAGATGTACCACCTTTTCCATGGGCTCAAATAGGAATTGATCTTTGCAGCCTGCCCACTTCAGAAGAAGGCTACACGTGTATTGCCGTTGCCTCTGATTATTTCACAAAATGGGTTGAGGCAGAACCCATGAAATCCAAAACAGCCAATGAGACATGTAAATTTATATACGGTGTGATTTGCCGCCATGGCTGCGCAAATGTAAATCAAATTATATAAATACATATCGATTAAAAAATATGAATTTATGATAATTCTATCTTATAAACTTTTCATTTTATACAATATAGATACAAATCAATGATCAAGGAAGAGAGTTTGTAAATGAGATGGCTACTAGACTGCATAAAATGACCGGGACAGAGCAACGCATTTGCAGTGCGTACCATCCTCAAGCTAATGGCTTAACTGAGAGAAATAATCGCACTATTCAAAACCTAATGTTAAAGGTTTTAGGAAATGATCAGACCAGTGGCCTAAAGTTCTTCCAGGTGTACTGTTTGCAATGAGAACAAGTGTACACAAATCAACAGGATTTACCCCATTTTATATGTTATATGGTCGGAATGCAAAGCTTCCATCAGACTTAAATTCCACAACTAAGCCTGATATTTTAAGGAAATAAATAATGATCCTGAAAACTCTTATGTAAATAATATTGATAATGACTTTGACGAGAGTGAATTGTTAAATAGAATAATGAGCATGTCAGTCGTATGGAAAAAGGCGAAAGAAAATATAATTGTTGCCCAAGATAGACAAAAAAGAGATTATCAAAAAAGGCAAAAGGATAAAATATCGTATGAAGTTGGACAACTGGTCCTAATCTGGAACTCCCGTCGTGCTGATCGAAAGGGTGGAAAAATGTCTGATCCTTGGCTTGGTCCATATGTAATTGATAAAATACATGATAAAGATATTTATAGTGTGAGTAATAAAGATAATACTCCATTAAAGCAAAAATATAGCGGGTGTAACCTTAAGCCCTACATCCAACAATCTAATAACGGAGATGAGGCAAAAGAAGATTCTACCGATATTAAGATAATATTATATAAGGAGCCTGATACTTCTCCGTTACCTTACCTTGCCACCAATTATGCATGAAAGAAATATCATGCTAAGAGGTTGGGCATCCCATATTCTTTATTAACAGAAAGCAATGATAAAACTAAAAATTTAAGTTATCTTCCTAATTTTGAGATAGTTCTTGGTGACGGTAATTGTTTTTATCGGTGCTTAAGCAAAGAAATCTCAGGGAGTGAAGATCACCATGCAATTATAAGGGGGTCTATTACCTCTTATATGATGCATTTTGAAAATAAAGATATTTTTAGTGATTTTATTGGAAAAGATATAATCACACATATAGTTGATACAAAAAAATATCAACTTGGAACGTGGGCAGATGAACTAGATATTGTAGCATCTGCCACATTTTTTCAAACATCTATCATTATATATTGCAAAAATGGAAATGAGATGAAATACATTACATACTCCTCATTATTAAAAAATAACTGTATAAAAAATTTTAATTTAAATATATATTTAATAAATGCGACTTCTGATCATTTTAATCGTGTTATAATATAATATATACTCAATTTGTAATAATCATGTTTCCGTTATTGGGATATATTTTCTTTTTATAATATTTTTCTTGTATTTTTGAAATAAAATGATATATCCTTTTTATTTATATAGTATTAAGAAATCAGTCTTTTATTGCAATAAAAAAAATATATACAACTAAAAATAGTTATTACAGAAGAATAATATAAAACATAATTTGATTTTATAAAATATTTTGTGTTCCATAAATATAAATGTAATTTTAATCAGATAGAAATAAAATTATATATGCATCTAAAAAATGAAATGACGATTAAGAAGCCAACAGGAAATGATTAAAACATATTTCAATAATAGATATTTATTGAGATGCTTTGACTTAATTTAGCTTTTGTCTATTAAAATTTTAAGGCTTGAGATAGGAATGAAGATTTTAAGATGAGCCAACAGGCAATGATCGCATAATAATAGTGATAGATATAATGATTGAGATCCTTTGTTGTAATAGAAACCCTCATATCTGTGATTAGCTTAAGCTTGTTTATTAAAATTTTAAGGCTTGATCCCAATAATAAGATGGTAAATGAAGAAAATTTGTGTACATTGTTCTTAATTACAATTTTCTACAGGATGGAGTTGAACAAACAATATCATTTTAACCATAAGGAGAAAATTAATAAATATGAGTAAAAAAATAAAAATATACAGGATATAAAGAATAGTAAAATATAAATTCCTTAAAAAAATTATATAAAAGAATAGAAAATCATTTAAATATATTTTAACTATTAAATATATTAAATAGATTTTTTACAAATCTAAAATGGCCGTTAATATTTTTGACGCGATTAAAAAATAAATATTTTACAATATGACAATTGTTACTTTTGGTACATCTTCACTGAAATTAATTTAACATGTTTACAATATATATTTTAATCTATGTAATTCAAAAAATTTCAAAAAAGTTAAATCTATTTAAAATAAATATTTTACAAATCGAAAATGGCCGCCAATATTTTTGAAGCGATGAAAAGAATATATAATAATAAATATTTTACAATTTTAATGGCCGCCAACCAATGATATTATATGTCATTGCTCCTACATTAAAAGCAATATATGAATATATACATAATTCTTGAATAATTAATAATATATAATATATATCACTATTTGTATAAAATTAATTTACATAATAAATATTTATTTTTATTATTTAAGGATGATAGAGAACCAGATACAGATCTTGATGATCTATCTGACACTGATTATGAAAGCAATTACAAGAGTACAGCTGACAATATGGAAGTCATATTCAAGACTGCAACAAAAAATATTGCAAAGGCTCAGCTTAACGAGATTATAAAACTCGTAATGCTGCTAAGAATGCACTTTATCACATAAATGATAAAGTGCTTGTATGGAATAATCGTCGAGCTGACAGGAAAGGAGGGAAAATGTTGCAGCCTTGGGTAGGCCCATATACAATTGTTAAAATTGTTAATAGTAAAATCCTAATTTTTAACAAAATAGTTATACATATTTAGGCAATGTTGAATTATCTTCCTTAACGGGAAAAATTTTACTTATAAAGACTAACCTCAGTAATTTAAAACACTATATTGAGGGGAACAAAGGTATTTTTTAAATATACAAATATAACTTTTTTAATGGTAAAGAAACAGTTAAAAAACCTAATAATATGGTACATTGTGAAACTATAGTAGGTGTTCAAGATCAAGGTAATATATACAGTTAATTCATAAAAATAATATTAAACAAATAATTAAGTTTGTAGGCTTCTTAAAACTATAGTTGGAGAAGGAGAAGGTAATCAAATGCATTTGGAAAAAAGGAAAATATATTTTTAATTATTATATTTCCATTAGAAGAAACACTATTTGAAGAGATGCCCTGTGAAATAAATGTTGCAGAAGAAAGTTTTATTTTTAAAAAATTGTAAAATTTTTATTTTTGATAAAGCTAAATTCCTAGGGTTGGAAATTGGAAAGGAGGACACCAACATAAACTATGTCAAGAGAAAGGGTATAATATATAAAATTATTTAATTATTTTTTTATATGCAGATACATTTGGTGAAGATCCAACAAAAGCTTATAAAAGTATAGTAAGAGAGGGAGGATATGTAGGCATACAAGATCAGGGTAAAGGTAATATATTTTAAAAATATGTTATTATTTAATTATCAAATTTAGATGACGAAATTATTGTTGATACAATAATACCAAAGAAAATTGGTGAGGTTTTTTTGCCCACAACTAGAAATTGGAAAGTATACCACTCTAAACGGTTCAATTTCAAAGTAATTGGCCGTTATCCCAAGATCGAAAGTGGTATATTAAAGGAAATATTCACAACCGATCATATTGTGTAGTGTTGTTAATCGACTGAGTCGAAAACTGAGTCTAAGTTTTGGGTCGAAAAAATCGACCCAAACTGACTTGAGTTATGAACTCGAGTCGTGAACTCAAGTCGACTCAAGTTGTGAACTCAAGTCGTGAACTCAAGTCTATATACTTGAGTCGACTAGAGGACGAATATTTTTATAAACTTGAATCGTTGACTAGAGGACGAATATTTCAAATTAATTATTAATAATTAAGATTTGTTCTGTTTTTTACATTTTTTTATTTTAGACTTCCAACTTGAGATTTAAATAGGAATTATATACTTTAGGTAGTCAACTAGAGGACGAATAGTTCTATGAACTTGATTCGACTAGAGGACGAATATTTCAAATTAGTTATTATTAATTAAGATATTTGTTTATTACTTTTTTTTATTTTAGACTTCCAACTTGAGTTGCAAATAACGTAAATGGGCTAAAATAAGCATTGCTAACATGTTTAAATAATATTTTAGTGGAGATGTACCATAGATAAGTGACATTTGTCATAATCGTTGTTTTTAAAGTTTTTCGAATTTTTTTGACGTAAATGGGCTAAAATAAGCATTGCTAACATGTTTAAATAAAATTTTAGTGAAGATGTACCCTAGATAAGTGACAATTGTCATAATCGTTGTTTTTAAAGTTTTTCGAATTTTTTTGACGTAAATGGGCTAAAATAAGCATTGCTAACATGTTTAAATAAAATTTTAGTGAAGATGTATGATAGATAAGAGACAATTGTCATAATCATTGTTTTTAAAGTTTTTGGAATTTTTTTGACGTAAATGGGCTAAAATAAGCATTGCTAACATGTTTAAATAAAATTTAAGTGACGATGTACCCTAGATAAGTGACAATTGTCATAATCGTTGTTTTTAAAGTTTTTCGAATTTTTTTGACATAAATGGGCTAAAATAAGCATTGCTAACATGTTTAAATAAAATTTTAGTGAAGATGTACCCTAGATAAGTGACAATTGTCATAATCGTTGTTTTTAAAGTTTTTCGAATTTTTTTGACGTAAATGGGCTAAAATTAGCATTGCTAACATGTTTAAATAAAAATTTAGTGAAGATGTACTAAGAAAATCATAATATTTTTTTTATTTTTGTCAATTTTTCTTTAACTTTTATTTATTTTAGTTATTCCTTTTTAATTTATTTCTATTTTTTTATTAATATTTATGTCAAACTTTTTTTTAATGCGACAATTGTCATATGCGTTATTTTTTAAGATTTTTGAAATTTTTGGACACAAAAGGGTTATAATATAAATTATTTTGTAAAGATATTATATTATAAATTCAATGAAGATGTTCCCTGCAAAAATGATAATTATCATAATAGGTAGGTATTTTTAAACATATAAGATTTTTTTGTGACGCTAATGAGCAAAAAGTTGTTTCTTTTAGCTAAATAGGCTAAAGTAAGTATTGCAAACATTTAAATAAAACTTCAGTGAAGATGTTCCCTGAAAAAGTGACAATTGTCATAATCGTTATTTTTAAAGTTTTTACGCAAATGGGCATAAATATAGAATGCTAACATGTTAAATTAAAAATTATGAAGATGTACCCTAAATAAATTCTAATGACAATTGTCATAATCGTTATTTTTATTTTCAATATTTTTAATTTTTTTAGCCTAAATAGGCTAAAATAGGTATTGCAAACATTTAAATAAAACTTCAGTGAAGATGTACCCTAGAAAAGTGACAAATGTCTTTTGGCGCCAATTTTTATTATTTTTTGATAGCCCTTTAGAGAATATTTTTACTTACAATATGATATATAATTAGTTTTTGAGATATAAGCATTTTAAAAATTTTGAGCCCCTATATCTCAAGAACCAGGTGTTATAGCGAGCTAAAATAAACGGCTTTCTCATTTATTTACCCTTCTAAATAATTCCAGAAAAAAAATGAAATAAAGGCGTGGATAAGATTTATTTTTAACTATTTTATATAATTATTTTTACTTTTTGCAAAGTCCTGTCTGATACATTTTTTATATTTTATATTTATTTTATAAACAGACAAAGTTAGATCATGTTTTTTTTCAAATAATATTTTATTTTTTGTTTATTTACATAAAAATATAAAAAATTCTTTGGATCTCCTACAAAAATACGAATCAAATCATATATTTACATAATTCTTGTTTTCGAATCGAATAATTATATTATTCGTATTAGTACAAATTAAATAATTCCTTATTCGTATCGGTTCGAATAATGAAAACATTATTGGATTTGATTCATCGAATATTCGATGCCAAAAATTAAATTCTTCAAAAATATATTCAAAATATTAAAAATTAATAAGTGATTTATAGATGTTGAAAAAAAAAGTAAAAACTTTTCAAGGAACTTTTAAATACTTAAGAATCATGTCAAATACTTCTGGGTTTGAAAATTTCTGAATAATTTGAAATATTAACAAATATTTTGGAATATTTATTTACGAATAATTTCTAATATTTATAAATTATTTCAAATAATAAGAATAATTCGATCGAATAATAAATAGACAAAAAAAAATATTCCACAGATTAATATATTTTCTTTATTCGATTCGAATAAAATAATTTTTTTATTCATAAAATACGAATCTTATGAAATAAAATCGTATAGTGAATAATTCGTTTTAGGTATAATTTTATTTTTTGTTAAATTTTACAATTTTCTACAAAAGAAAATGATGAAATTAAAGTTCGAATCAAATATACTAATACAGAATTTTATTTAAAAAAAATAGTTTCTCGTTTTAGAATCATAAAGACCCCAGTATTGTAATTTTTAATAGGATCAAAACTATCCGGGATTATCGCGGGTTTTAAGGGATCCCTTTATACAAAGAATTATTTTAAAGAAAATATAATCAAATATGTTCATTTGAACATTATGATATTTTTTTTTGATTTTATACAATTTGTGAAACCTTAGATAAAAGCTGTTAAAAAGCTTATAATCTTATATTAAATAGATTTTTACCACATATCTTCAAATTATTATATAAATTACACAATATTTATTTATTTTGTAAACATAAAATAACTTTTTAACATAATACAATAAATAAGATACAATATAGATAATAAATGAAATATTTTATATTATATCTCTAACATCCCAGTTATTAAGGCACATACAATATTTAACGGTTGTCCCCGACATCCTATTTCGTTTCTTCGTTAAAAAATCAACGGCCTTGCTAAAGACTCTTTCACTAGGAACGCTTGTTGTTTGTTGTGCGAAGAAATCTTTAGCTATGAGCGACAACGTTTGGTAAAAATCACTATTTTTGGCCCACCAATCAAGTATATTGGTTGAAGCTGGTGCAACCGGTTCTTTGATGTAATCTATAAATTCATCTCTACTGAGATCTGGATATTCATAAGCCTCCCTAAAAATTATAAATTAATATATCAAACATTTATAATTACTTTCTCATTTCGTTATGCATGCAAACCGAATAGGGCTGTGTTTCCATATCATCTTTTGAGAAGTCATAAACATTCACTTTTTGCGATGGCCAACCATAGCTTTTATATAATGATTTAAATTTTTCATTATAATCCTCCTTTGCTATAAATTTAGGCATATATTTTAATTTAGTTTTAGGATCTAATAGTGTGGATACAAAATTGCTAAATGAACTCATCAAATTTTTATAAGTTGCACATTTTATCAACATTTTACTACCCGCTTTTTTAAGATCGCTATCGGGATGATTTTTCGAAGTTTCGTCTAAAATCTGCTCTATCTTTGTCATAAATAAAACTGAGGTTCCAATAGTAGAAGTATCTGACGATATTTCAAGTGTTATTTTATAAAAAGGTTTTAAAAAATTTTCAATTTCGTTTAAAGATCTCGCCTCACTATCATTTATATCGAAAGGCGCCATATATTTTTTCCCAAGGTCTTTAATTGCATCTAAATTCTATATAAATTAAATATATTATTATGCAATGTTATATCTCTAAAATTTCAAAATTGTAAAACTATTATCTTTGAATATTATTGAATAAAATAATTATATTATGGTTTAAAAGGTAGGGAAGACTGGGATTTGTAAAAAAATGGTTCGACTAGACCTAGTTCCCTTTATACATAGTCAAAATTTTGTAAAATTAATTACCATTGACCATATATCTTTTAGTAGAATATAAAAGACATTATAAAAAAATTATATTATAATTTACTTTGTTCACTGTTGATAGCATTATATATTTTGAGTTCCATCTGGTTATCACATCCAACGGAATCCTCGTTCCACCAGATAGCTGCATGTAATTTTGTAACAGTTTGGGGGAAGAATGTAGTTTCTTTACAACATCAGTTATTTTAATTAGCTTTTTGTCTAGGTATGAAAATCCCTCTTTTACTATCAAATTTATAACATGTGCTAAACATCGGTGGCTGTATACGCCTGTTTTATATTTTTCCTGATAAATTATATTCATTTTTTCAACAGCTTTTATTACGTTTAGTGCATTATCATGCGTGATTGAGATAATTTTGTCCTGAATCTCAAAATCATCCAGAGATTCTAATAAACATTGTGATATATCCTCACCACTATGAGGATATGGTAACTCAATTAAATCTAAAAGGAAACTTTCCATTTTTTATTAATATAATGGCATGTTATTGCGCAAAACGATGACGAATTAATTGAGGTCCACATATCAGTGGTGATGGCTTTGCTATCAATATTTTTTAACTTAGTGATAAGATTTAATTTGGAACTTTTATATAGCTTTTCAATATATTTACAGGCCGTTTGACGAGACCAAATTTTTTCATTTTTAAATATATAAGAAAATATTCCTCTGAAAGAATCACTATTCAGTGAATGGAAAGATATATTATTCTTTATTATATATCTGAGAATTAATTTGTTTAGATGTAAGATCTCCTCGGGTAAAAGTTTCCTTATGCCCACTAGATTTTTTGGCATTTCTGTCTTCTCAATCCGTATCATATCAGTATGATGTCTTTTTACATGATTTTTTAAATTCGCTGTTAAAATAAATGAATTTTTACTTTTCTTTATAAAATTAAAACATAATAGTTTTTAACCCTCAGTCGCACATGGGAAAAAAATTAGGGGAGACCGAACAACGATAATTACTTTTTAAAATTCACAAACTTTCGAAACTTTATTGAAAATATATAAATATGATAAGTCTATATTTTTAAACATAAAAATAAAAACATTTACAAAACATACTTGACAATTTTCTAAATTTTAATACTTAAACATACAATTTTAAAATTTTTCGAACTTTTTTTTAAAATTTTGGATTATAGCCTTTAAAACGAGTTTTATTTTGTAGTCACAAACTTTAAATAACAATATCCCATTAATTCACATATGTGAACCATCTTTTAAAACCAGCTAACACTGCTACAACTTATTAACCAAATATTTTTTTTAGTGAATGTATGGAAAAAAGGAAAAAATTAATAAATTTTTTTTAAACTTTCCCTTTTTCTTAACATTTAAAAAAAAATGATTAAATGGTGTCTTTTTTGTCCAAGAGTCTTTACTCTTTATTTTATATTAGAAAAAATCTATTATATGCCATTATTTTTTAATAATATCATATTTGCTACAATTTATATAAAGTAATTAATGAGAATGAGACAGTCAAAAAAAAATCTAAGAATTTATTAATATTCTTTTTATTTTTACGGTTTATATTTTTTAAAATATATTTAGAAAATGAAATGCATTTTTTATACTTGATTTTTTATAAATATAAATAAAAAAAACATTAAATAAATGTATCCCACCCAAATTTATAAATGGGGGTTTTATTATAAAACAATTATTTTATTCATTTTTTTTATTTTATATAACATTATTAATTCCTGATTTTTTATTTCAAAATATAATAAACAAGTGAAAATAAAAATAAAAGGAAAAAACAAGAAAGTTAAACTTAAAATTAAAAATTACAAAATTTTTTTTTATATATAATGCAAAATAAAAAAAATAAGATGCAGAATTATTTAAATTATCTCAAATAATTCTTGCTGCTCCTTGCACCCAGGTCTCAGTTGAGAGAGCATTTAATGCATTAGCACTAACTGTAACCTCTCTAAGGACAAGATTAGACAAAGATATACTTGATGATATTTTAATTATAAAGCTTAATCGTACATTGTTAAATAATATGATATTTTAAATCATTATTATATAACCTATTTCATTATAAAGTTATTGTTTACATTAAAATTTTAATAAGATTTAGATGATAACAATATAAATAGATTTTTCGTATGAATAGTATAATCAGAGGGGGGCGTATTTTACTAGATATATCCAAATAGTAGTTTCTAAGATCTAAAATTGATTTAAAAGATTAAAGAAAAAATATTAAATTTGTTGTTCCCAAAAATATCATGTTTATATTAATGCAACTTTCTAGTTCAACTCCATTCCGGTTGGCTCAAAAAATTTAACATATTTGATACTATTATCATCTGCCCAGAGGTTTAAGTGTTTCCCAACAAGATCATATTAACCTAATTTAAAAATAATGGATATGAGTAATGTGATAATTTCAAAATATATATATTAAAATAATTTCAAAAGGGAGTTGAGAATTAGATATGTCACTTATCTATGGTACATATTCACTGAAATTTTAATTTAACATGTTTACAATTTATTATTTTACCCTGTAAGTTCAAAAAAATTAAATAAAAAATTAAAAATGATAATTGTCACTTATCTGTGGTAGATCTCCATTTAAATTTTAATTTAACATGTTTATAATATATATTTTACCCATTTGCTTTAAAAAATTTCACAAAATTTTAAAAATAACGAACGATATACCTATTCGAAATATTCGTCCTCTAGTCGACTTAAGTTTACTACTCAAATGGAAAACTCATGTTCTCGACTCAAATCGACTTGAGTGCATGACTCGAGTTGACTGGAGTTCACGACATGAGTCGGCTTGAGTTCACGACCTGAGTCGACTTGAGTTCACGACTCGAGTTCACGACTAATGACTTCATACTCTGAGTCGGAGTCGGGTGAACTCGACTTTTTAACAACACTAATATTGTGGGTGATGGAAACTGTTTTTTTAGGTTAGTTACTTTATATAATATTTAATTATTTAACATGTTTATAGGTGTATAAGTCAAGAAATATCAAATAGTCAGGATAATTATAATTACCTGAGGGAGAAATGCGTTGCCTTTATGAGGAGTAACGATTTCAAATTGGAAATGGAAAAATTCATAGGATATCCTGTAGAAGAATACCTAATTGACAGAAATGTTATAGGAAATGGTGTCTGGGCAACAGAGGTGGAAATATTATCTATGGCCACATTGTTGCAGACAAATATATTAATTTATACCCAATATAAGTGGGATTATTATTCACCCATGAAATTTTTTAATAATATTAAAATTTTTAAAGAAAATATATATTTATGTAATGAAAATAACAATCATTTTGTTAGAATTATATCAATGTAATTAATATTTATTCTAATATTTTTATTCCATTATATTTATTGCAATTTAGTTGAAAGTATAATCGGTAAGCATTTTTTTATTAAATGTTATTGCACTTTATATTTTTTATTAATAGTTATTTTAATAAAAGGTACAATAGGTTGGCATCCTTTTTATCAATGTAATTAATATTTATTCTTATACTTTTATTTCATTATATTTATCGCAATTTAGTTGAAAGTATAATCGGTAAGCATTTTTTTATTAAATATTATTGCACTTTATATTTTTTATTAATAGTTAATTTTATAAAATGTACAATAGGTTGGCATCTTTTTTATGAGTTCAATTCTATTCAATTGCGAATTTATACTATATAGCATTTTATAATTAGTTATTTTTATATAAAGTCACAATAGTGAATCATTAGATGAATGATATGTAATTTATGTTTAAATATGAATAAATTTAACCTACCATGTGTATATAAATTTTGATCAAACCTTTTTTAAATTAAGCTATAACGTTTTCGGCGTTAAATTATTTATAGGCATAAGAAATTTAAAAAGGTTGAAAGTTAGATGTTAATATTACTAAATATTAGAAATTATAATCTATCTTATAAATTTTAATTATCTCACTCATAAGTGTCAATATTGGAAAAAATACAAACTTTAAGCATCATCTGTCGGTCATAAGTGTCAATATTGCTATATATAAATTTTAAGCAGTACCTGTCAGTCATAAGTGTCAATATTGCTATATATAAATTTTAAGCAGTAACTGTCAGTCATAAATGTCAGTAACTAAATAATAGAAACTTTTAACATTACATGCCAGTCATAAATGACAGTATTACTATATAATAGAAACTTTTAACATTACATGCCAGTATTACTAAATAATAGAAACTTTTAACATTACATGTCAGTTATAAATGTCAGTATTACTAAATAATAAACTTTTAACATTATACGTCAGTCATAAATGTCAGTATTACTAAATAATAGAAACTTTTAACATTATATGCCAGTTATAAATGCCAGTATTACTATATAATAGAAACTTTTAACATTACATGCCAGTCATAAATGCCAGTATTACTAAATAATAGAAACTTTTAACATTATACGTCAGTCATAAATGTCAGTATTACTAAATAATAGAAACTTTTAACATTTTACGTCAGTCATAAATGTCAGTATTACTAAATAATAGAAACTTTTAACATTATACGTCAGTCATAAATGTCAGTATTACTAAATTTTATAATGATATTTTATTAAAATATATTATAACGTCAATCTTAAATGTCAGTATCACTAAAGGGAGTTAATTTAAATTTAAGTTAAAAATGATATTTTATTAAAATATTTTATAACGTCAATCTTAAATGTCAGTATTACTAAAGGGAGTTAATTTAAATTTAAGTTAAAATATCACGTTACACCGGTGTAGGATTGTGAAAGCAATACCCATTGTAGTTTCAATACCGTATTGATATTATCATTGTAGATTCAATACCGTATTGTTTTTACAATATTGTAGAATCAATACCGTATTGGTTTTAAAATACGTTTTCATCGCTTCAAATATATTGGCGGCCATTAAAATTGTAAAATATTTATTATTATACATTTAATTATCGCTTCAAATCAATGACATATAATATATGTCATTGTGTAGGAGCATGAAAGATGCCTATTATAAAAAAATAAATTATGACAAATCATTTTCTCAAAGAAAATGGCTATCATATAGCTCTATTTTGGATAAAGTATTCTGTATCTTCTGTATTATGTTTGGAAGTCATCAAGCAAGCATGCAATGGACTCATAAAGGTACAGATAGCTGGAATAATTTAGTCCGGCATATGGAGAGACATGAAACATCCCCTGTTCATGCAGATTGTGAATATGCACATATGGCATGGATTTCTCGGGGGCGTATTGATGACCACATTTTATTCAACCGAGAGGAAATTATAACCCAAAATCGTTATATTATCCATAATATAATTGATGCTATTGTGTATTTAATACGGGGCAATATTGCTTTTTGGGAAGCAATTCTCATGATGGTAATTTTTCAAGACTTATAACTTTGATCTCAAAGAATGTTCCAGTATTAAGAGCATATCTAGAGAAAAATATTAGTTCACGAGGAAAAAGTGGTAATAAAATATTAAGGCCACAAATAAACTTCATATCCTATGGCCATGTTAAAAAATTGGCTGAGATAATAAAAATATTGAATGAAATAATTAAACAAATTATGTCAAATTGTGCCATTAGCTTAATATTAGATGTTACATATGATATTTCAAAAAAGGAATGTGTTGCCTTAATTATAAGGTATATACAAGAATATCCACACCCACACCCAGTAGAAAGAATCATTAATATTTTTACAACTTCTGACACAACAGGAGAAAATATTAAAAATAATGTTCTAACTAAATTAAAGGCATTACATCTTCCACTAGAATACCTGATTGGGCAAAGTATGGATGGTGCTAGTAATATGAGAGGTGTTAATAAGGGAGTACAGGCTTTAATATTTAAAGAAGCTCCTAAAGCTATTTATGTCTGGTGCCATGCTCATAGGCTTAATTTAATTGTTATTCGTATATGTGGATATGGGAATGAAATTAAAAAAACTATGGGAATTTTAGATGAATTATATAATTTTATGAATGGAGTTAAACGCCAGGGTGTTTTTACCAAATTTCAAATGCAAAAAAATAAAAATTCTCTCAAAAGAATAAAAAACACAACAAGGTAAATAAATCAAATTTTTTTAAGAATTTTATTTATTTTCAGAAATTGGGCATCATCTTTCAAAGCATTACAAAATTTTTTAGATGTTTATGAATATATAATAGCCTCCTTGACAGAGTTAAGCAATTCCGATGACGCAATCACATTTTCAATTTCTGAGGGATTGCTATCTAGAATAAAACGATATGATTTTATTTTAGGATTATTTATTTTAAGAATAATCTTAAAATGTACACATGAAACTTGCATTGAAATGCAGGCAATTGGAAATGATTTAGCAATGATGATTAAATTGATCCAACATACAAAAAATAAATTCCAAAGATTAAGGGGTAAATTATTATTCATGTATTTTAATTACATTTTCTAATGAAGCAAATGGTGATAATATATTAACATCATTACATACCGATGTTAAATCATTTATGGATAAGAATAATGTTACAACCGATATTTATAATATTAAGTCAATATTTAAATTGGATCAAAAAGAGTTTGATAATTATATTGAACAACAAAAAGAAAAGTTTATGAAAAGTATATTTTAAAATAATATATATTTTTTTAGATATAAAAATGAAAATTTTTACCCAGTGATTAATATGATCATTGAACAATTAAATGAAAGATTTAATTATGAATCATTAAACTTTTTAAATCAGATTTCTATTTTTACTCCTGCGGGATTAGCAGATAATGAGAATATAGAAATTTCCCAGATATCTGAAATTGTGTTTATATAATTTTGATGCACAGAAAATTATAGATGAATTTTCCAATTTTAGACCATTATACTTAGATTCCTTATCAATCATTTATAGTAAAGATTTAATCAATATTAGAAAAAATGATACCTTATATGATGAAAGTTATTAATTTTATTAACAACTTAATTTTAATATATGTTTATTGGTGAAAACATTATAAATGCTAGTAAAATGACCGAAACAAAAAGATGGCTGAAATATTCATTTATTCTACCATATAGATTATTAATTAAATCAAGTTCTTTTCCTTATCTTAAAACGTTATATAAATATCTTATAACCCTCCCCACCACCTCATGCTCTGCTGAAAGAGCTATGAGTAAAGTCAAAATTGTTAAAACACGTATTCGAAATAAAATCTCTGATTCTTTTTTAGAAAATTTATTATTAATATCAAGTGAAATTGATATATATGATACATTTAAAACAGAAGATATTATTACAGATTTCGCGTTAACTTCTAAAAGACTATCTAATCTTTTAATTGGATAATCCTTTTTTTTAATATTAAACAGCAATAAATTTAGACATTTGGCATTATAATTCCCTTTTTTCAATATTTGAATAAATTTGGATTACTAATCCCTTTTTAGTTAGTCATTTTTAATTAGTCTTTTTCTGCACATATATTTATATTCCTTATGTTATATCTTTAACATTAAAAAAAATTATTATGAAGCAATTATAATATCCATTTTTTTTAAATATTAAATAGCAATAAATTTAGACATTTTGCATTATAATTCCCTTTTTTATTTGAATAAATTTGGATTACTAGTATTAGTTAGTTATTTATAATTAGTCTTTTTCTGCACACATATTTATATTCCTTATGTTATATATATTTTTAACATTAAAAAAATTATATATAAAATAAAATTATTATGTGGAAATTAAAATATATAATTTTTTAAATTTCGATAATTTTTATACCAATAAATATTCTTCCTGTAATCTATATATCATTATTTCATAAAATATTCAGACTTATATTTATAAGATTATAATTTATTCTATCGTAATAATGCCGCCGAAGGCAGCAAATTTTTTTAGGGGGGTAGGCTGAGGTTTTTGAGGGGGGTTTGCATCCAGTGAAAATCCTGTCATGTAGACGCTGCTATCAGTTAAAAGAAAGAGTATATTGGTACTATGATTTTAAAGTCATAAATTCATTTTGAGAAGTGGTGTAAGCTTTTTGGGCCATATCAGGTTAATGGCCTATATTTAAAAATATTCTATAAATTGAAAGAGATTTTTATATTGAGTACATCCCTGCTTATAAATTGCTAAATTAAAAAAAGATGAGGCAATTACAAATTCATTTTGTAACATAAGTATCAAGCATATAAAAAAATATTTAAATAAAAAAGATGAGCAATTACAAATTCATTTTGTTATAATCATCTATATCTTAAGGTAGTTTTACAACCCTTATTTTGATATTTATATAGATTCTATGTTTTTCACAAAATACAATACTTTAACCAGTTTATAAAATTATGTTAAATAGTGTAAATATACCTTTCAACTAATTTATCATATGTCTTGTTGATTCCAAAATGACCTGATAATGACATTTCTGTGATATTTGTGTCACATCCTCCATGGAATGAAACTAAAATATTATGTTGTTGACTAATGAGTGAGATTACCTCAGCATTATGTAGGTGATGGTAGAGTTTGCCATTCTTTAAGGAAAACTTGGCACATTTAACTCTAAGGTTTATTTTCAACCCATGATCTCCGATATAGGAGGTTGGGTAAGTTTTGGATTTAAGGTAATTATAAACATTGACAATATTGATATTCACTATTTTATATATTTATAATATAATAATGATAATTTTACTTGAAATTTTGAAATTAGGATGTCAATCTATACAAACAAGATTAATAAAATTAATTCGATTCAAATTTAATTTGGAAAATCAAAATTAATATAAAAATTAAATTTATAAGAATTTCAGTAATAAAAAAAACAGTATGATCATATAACTCTCCCTATCAATTAACATTGTAATTAAGATTTTTGTTATTAATTAACTCCCTCCTTAACACTGTTTATCAAAGGGGGAGTTAATCTATCATGGTTACAACTTAACTCAGAGGTATGTGATAAGGGGAGTTAATTAATCACGCTACACCGGGACACCATGAAGAAAGAAGCTTTTTGCATGAAAGAACGTGCTAAGGTTTGATTCTTGGTCATCTCCATAGATTAGGCATTGGTCATATCAATAGATTAGACAGTCACAATAAATAAGGTAGTCATAATAGGTAGTCATTTCCATAGGTTAAGCAGTCTCCATAGGTTAGATAGTCATCTCAGTAGATTAAGTAGTCACAATAGATAAGGTAGTCATAATAGGTAGTCATCTCCATAGGTTAAGCAGTCTCCATAGGTTAGATAGTCATCTCAGAAGATTAGGTAGTCATCTTTTTCTAGTCCACCACCCATAGCCAGGGCACCATGAAAAGAATAAGGATCTTAACGATATGGCGCGAGTCAGTAAAAATATATTTTATTAACTAATTTCTTTTTCTTTTCTTAAGGTATATATACATTTTTTTATAAGTCCAAATTAGAATACAAACGAAAAACAAAAAAGTAAAAATATTATAAAATATAAAAAGTAAGGTTACGCCGAAAGTTATAAAAATAAGGTTACGCCGTACATATAATAAAGTTATTACAAAAAATAATAAAAAATTAGATTACAAAAAAATAATAATTAGAATAACTCAACACAACTTCAACACCAACAAAGATTAAACCCACACAGAATCCGTCTAAATTGCACAATAACCTTTCTTTACTTCTGATTTGGCTCCAGAATCCACATAGACAACAAAGAAGACAGAGCTTATATAGCAAATCGTGAAGAACACGCATCCCTGGGCACACCCAATGTATTTACTTAATCCTTGGAGCTCTGAAATACGTTCAAATGCTCGCTATACTTTAATGACCAAGACTTTTTAGATCCTATGAAAAGCGGATTGATGGAATTTCCATGATCCCATCGAAACAGGGCTCATTTATGGCTTGGGAATATTATTGTATAGATTCATTAGCTTTATAAAACAAAATTCCAAACCTACTTGGGCGGCATATCAGAAGACCACATCTATATTCCAATATATTGCATTGTCTTTCTTCAGATTTATTATCTCACATTCATAACCATATTAGAAATTCGCGAGAAGACTTCTTCTCCAGACAGAGACTTATGCTTAAAGCGAAAGCTTCGCTGCCTTTTCTCCGCAGATCTTCTAGACTAACTTTTTCTTTTGAATTCTTATTGTTGTTTTTTATCTTTATATTAATTAATTTGTATTTTAAAAACAGATGGGTCTTAGTGCACTTTAATAAAATTGGTTGTTTAGTAAGTGTACCATGTCTATAGTTACTCTATAATTGTCAAATTTCATACTTTCATCTAAATGGCCACCATAACAAATCAATCTGTAATAAAAAATAATATTGAAGAAAAGAAAACAGATATTGGATTGTTGGAAGAAGATGATGAGTTTGAAGAATTTCCAGCCGGTATTTTTTAATTTTTTTTAGAATTGCTATTAATTTTAACAGAATGGACGGAAAATGAGGAAAATAATGAAGAATCAAATGTATGGGAAGATAATTGGGATGACGATAATGTAGAAGATGATTTTAGTAAACAATTAAGGTAAAAATGTTTGATTATATTGTGATAAATATTTTTATTTGCAGGGCAGAATTGGAGAGACAATCTATTGGAAATAATGAAATTAAAAAATAAATCTTCATATTCTTGTGATATATTTTTATTAATAAATTTTTAGTCTATCTATAAATATACATCCTAAATTTGTAACATATGTAAACAAGTATTAGTTTGAAATATAAGAGATGCATTTGATACTAATTCTTTCAATTTTAACCAATACCAATGCTTGATCCCCAAAAATGGTAATTAACAATCATAAATTAAAAAAAATCTTTATATAAAGATATAAAATCATAAATAAAATACACTTACAAACTTTTAATTGATAAGAAAGATGATGTTAATTTACTTATAAATTTTTAACATAAAAATATATAAGTATTGATTAATTATATATTATTATTTTATTGACATAAAGTACTCTTTGTATTGGCTGAAATATTGGTATTATTGCATCTGATATATATTCATAATTATTATAATCTTGCAAATTAATGAAGGAAGAGAATATACTATTAAATTAAAGTCTACTAAATTTCAGTTGTTTATTTTATATACATAAATACAATGATTTAAAAATAACATGCTACTAAATATTTTTTTATCACCTCAAATATTAAGGTTCAACAGATATATGATACTAAATATCTACTCATTTATTTTCTTAAAATCATTATAATTAAGTTAGATAATGATTTCCAATGAATCAATCAAAATATATGATTTTTGTGGGACCCCTTATAATTTGTTAGAAATTTTCTAGATAAACTAAGGTACATACATGTTACAAAAATAGGATTGAAAATTTAGCATATTAACCTTACATTTTTGGAAATATTAAGGGTTTAACAATGAATAATGTTTCTTTTTATAGTTATCAAATGTTATTCAATTAAAAATTTCATAAAAACTACTTAATTATAAATATTGATTCTAATATTAAATTTTTTTTTACAAAATTATTTTTGATGTGGCCAACAATTTAAAATCTTTTTATAAAATGATGGAAAATGTCACTTAAACCAATTGGATCTATATAAATAAAATTGGAATGCCAAGTTTTAGCATTGACAAGAATAAATTTTTTCAATATCTAATTAATGGTTAAATATTTTCTTACCTGTAAAAATTAAAATATATTTACAGATTTACATTGGTCTTATTTGATTCAAATGTATATTTAAAAAAATCAGAAAGCCCCATTTTTTACAAGGTTTTTAAGTCGACACTCACACCTAGCCTCATATTGTTACCTTACTGCATATTAGAGCACTTCTTGGATCAATTCAAATCAGATCCAACAAAACTTAGGTCACTTAGACAAACTTCTTAGATTTGGACCTTAATTTTAAAATTTATTTCTGGGCTTGGATCTTGATTAAATTTTAAATTATTTTGTTTTCCTAGTGTTTTTCTGAATATTATTTTTAAAGAATATCCACAAAATTGTTTTTTATCCATCAGCAGTTATAATTTTTCTGATTTCATTGAAATATAGTACTTTTTCAATAGTCCAGTTTAAAAAAATTGGATCAGACCTATTTATAAAATTAAATGTTGGACTTAAATATTTGAAAAATAAATTAATGGATTGGATCCAGGTCAAAGTAGTTGTATTACGCCAGAACTGAAAAATAGGCATTGAACAGGGCTTAATTTTTAGGCTATTGTTACTTGCAACTATTGTTGCATTTAAAAAATTATAAAAAAAGTAAAATCTTCATTTTTTAAAGAACGCATGTTGTTTTTTTTTACCATTAACGATATTTATTTATTTCAAATTTTTTTATTTATAAATAAATATATTTTTTTTCATAAATAAAAATTATTTTATTAAAAATTAGCTCTCCATTTTTTTTTATAATTAATTAAAGTCAATATTTTTTTATTAAATTTTCTTTTTTAAGCTATAATTTCGAATAATAGATAACAGCAAAAGAATTCCATGAAAATGACCAAAAAAACAAATCAAAACTTATCTTAATTCTTTTTATACTATAGGCATTACAATAAACTGGATAAATTGAGACTTCATAAGCAAATATTTTTATTAAGCTATAAATATGTTTTTTTCCTAATTAATTAAAATTTTCATGTTTAATCTAATTTTCACAATATATATTTAGTCTACACTAAAAATAGATAATAGCAGAAGAATTCCATGAAAATGACCAAATAAACAACTCAAAACTTAGATAAATAGATTATATCTTAATTCTTTTTATACTATAGGCATTACAATAAACTGGATAAATTGAGACTCTTCATAAGCAAATATTTTTATTAAGCTATAAATTATAAATATGTTTTTTTTCTAATTAATTAAATTTTTCATGCTTTCACAATATATATTTAGTCTACACTAAAAATAGATAATAGCAGAAGAATTCCATGAAAATGACAAAAAAACAACTCAAAACTTAAATAAATAGATTATATCTTAATTCTTTTTATACTATAAGCATTACAATAAACTGGATAAATTGAGACTCTTCATAAGCAAATATTTTTATTAAGCTATAAATTATAAATATGTTTTTTTTCTAATTAATTAAATTTTTCATGCTTTCACAATATATATTTAGTCTACACTAAAAATAGATAATAGCAGAAGAATTCCATGAAAATGACAAAAAAACAACTCAAAACTTAAATAAATAGATTATATCTTAATTCTTTTTATACTATAAGCATTACAATAAACTGGATAAATTGAGACTCTTTTTAAGCAAATATTTATTTCTTTTTCATAACATTTGTATTTTAAATATGATTGCACTATTTAAATATATTATTATAATAAAAATAGATACAATTATAATAATTTTGAATGCAATTTGTGAAATGACAAGGTTTTAGGTAATTGTAATTGATCCTGTATGGGTAGTTCTATATTATCTTTGGATAATTGTAGATTTTCTTTGGGTAGTTCTAGATTCTCTTTGGATAATTGTAGATTTTCTTGATTCATGATATCCTGCATTATAGAAAGATCGATTTCATTATCTATTTCTTTATTTAAAGCTTTTTTTTTGTTAAAAATAGTGTACTGCATTTTTTTCTTTTTTCTATTAATTTTTTCAGACATTTTTAAATTTTTAACTAATTCATAGGAATTAGAAGATGATGGTAAACTATTAATATTCTCTTTGTTTTCCAATGTATTTATTCTTTTTATGCTTTTAAGATTCTAGGTTACATACCTTTTCACATGTTTCTTTTAATTCCTAAAAGCATATAATCATCAGGTCATTTGGTAGCTCCTTAATAAAGTTGCCAATATTATTTTGAAAATATTCTTATGTTATTTTATATATTTCTATATCTGTTAATTCACATTTATTTTTATTATTTTTTCAAATAATTTCTATATCAATATTATCATCCATTTCCTCTTCATAATTTATACTATTTTCACTTAAATATGGGTATAAATTGTATTCCTTCCACCACCTTAAAGCACATAAGGAATCATCATAGAGGGAGATATTGTTATCTTCCCTGTATCTGAAAATATGTTTACAAGGTAAAAGATACCTTTGCTGGAAACCACAATTACATAAATTTTCACTAACATTGAAATCTTCATAAGTTATATTAAAAGAATATTTTATTTCAAGGTTGACCCTTTTAAAGGCTTTTAGAGTCAATAATTTGGAGAATAAAAATTGTGGGGAAGATGGTGGCAGACTTATATAATTAAGTCTACTATTTGTAAGGATTATATCTTTATTCTTGTCCTCCAAACAATTTAAATATTCATTAAAATTTTTATAAAAAATATGTAAGGAAGAATTCCTTTTAATAATTCGTTTTAGGGCACTATTTGTCCCTTCAATTCTATTATTTGTAAAATTCCCAAAATTTACTGATTTATTTCTCCATGCCAAGCAGAATTCCTCACGAATTCCATGCCAATTTGTATCAAAGTATAAAAATACCTTTTGATATTTTGAATTTTTTAAATAATAATAATATTTCCAATATATGCCAGGGGTTTCTGCATAAATTAAACGTCTAAATAGGACGTGCATTTTTTTGACTTCAATTATTGTTAAATTATATTTTATTGTTGTTAACTGTCTTTTGAATATTTGTAGAACATGAAAAATACAAATTTCCAATTTAGCATTGGGAAATTCATCTTGATAGATTGCTCTTTCTGTAAAATTTTTATCAGATATAATTGTAAGAGTTTTTAGGAAAACATTATTATATTTTTTAAAAATCTGGCACATATTTTTAACTGTCGTGGAGCTCTCTGATAAAACTAACCAGATTGCAACTATTCTGGTATTCTCCTTACCATCTATTACACCCAAAGTGAAAACTGGCAAGTGGTAGGAAGGCATGGAGAAATAAATCAGTAAATTTTGGGAATTTTACAAATAATAGAATTGAAGGGACAAATCGTGCACTAAAACGAATTATTAAAAGGAATTCTTCCTTACATATTTTTTATAAAAATTTAAATGAATATTTAAATTGTTTGTAGGACAAGAATAAAGATATAATCCATACAAATAGTAGACTTAATTATACAAGTCTGCCACCATCTTCCCCACAATTTTTATTCTCCAAATTATTGACTCTAAAAGCTTTTAAAAGAGTCAACCTTGAAATAAAATATTCTTTTAATATAACTTATGAAGATTTCAATGTTAGTGAAAATTTATGTAATTGTGGTTTCCAGCAAAGGTATCTTTTACCTTGTAAACATATTTTCAGATACAGGGAAGATAACAATATCTCCCTCTATGATGATTCCTTATGTGCTTTAAGGTGGTGGAAGGAATACAATTTATACCCATATTTAAGTGAAAATAGTATAAATTATGAAGAGGAAAGGGATGATAATATTGATATATAAATTATTTCAAAAAATACTAAAAATAAATGTGAATTAACAGATATAGAAATATATAAAATAACATAAGAATATTTTCAAAATAATATTGGCAACTTTATTAAGGAGCTACCAAATGACCTGATGATTATATGCTTTCAGGAATTAAAAGAAACATGTGAAAAGGTATGTAACCTAGAATATCTTAAAAGCAAAAAAAGAATAAATACATTGGAAAGCAAAGAGAATTTTAATAGTTTACCATCATCTTCTAATTCCTC